TAGCATATACGCAACGAGGGATTTCTTTTCCTTCAATTTTATATTTCAATATTGAATCTGAAGACTTCTATCTAGACTGTACCTAAGTATTACACTGAAAAATATACTTAAATGTTACGCCCGCGTTACTAGTGTGATGATGACATACTATTAGTACTGCCTTGCAGCAGGAGGGCTTACAGAAACCAGTTTATTAGCTTCGCAACTTAGAGTAGCAAATCATTTGCCGGAGACTTGGTTAATCACTTGAAACGCCGATATTTACCTTAAAGCCGAAGGACTTAATTATTTCAACTTACACATAGTAAGCACAGATCTAACTTGGAGTGTTATTTCAACTTCGTTAAATAAGTTCACTCTAAAGCAAGGGCTTACTTAGTGTCATCAGTGAAAATGTATAGGCATACGAACTTCCAGTAGCCAGGTTCATCGAGTAGCCAGTTGAAAGATAATATAGCTTATAAGTTCCATATGATCATTCTATATCGTCTTGTGCTATGACTGTAGGTACCTAGGTTACATAGTTACTGTTTATGAATATAGACTACTTCCAGGGCAAAGTAATAAAAAGGGCTGATCCTATGTACCTAAGGTCCCTCGACGAATGAATAACAAGTATTAGATACCTTTACTGTCGATTTGTTTATTCTGATGAACACAAATATAAATAGTTGATTAATTCTTGGAACTTCTACTATACCGGCAAATTTAAATTCATATTAATTTACGAATATGACAAATGGAGGATGATATTTATCTGCTCTTAATTGAAGTAATATGATAATTTAGAGTCTTAAAGGTAATTATATTTCAAACGCTATAATAGAAAATCAACTAATCAGTATACTGGTCTCCCATTATACTAGTATTGTTACCCCTTTACATAAAATATATCCCTAACCGCTCCGGCTAGGGGATAGAAATATGGGGGACTTAGTGTTCTCGATGGCATGCCCTAAACTAATGATATCTATCCTATAGGCCCTCTTAGTGGCTTATTCTAAGAGTTATTTTAGAAATAGGGGTTCTAGACTTCGTCAGCAATTCCTATCGAGGTGGAGTTAGCTTGCTCCGGACGTAACCTGTTCAACTACCAACGCGTACACTTTCCCGACCAATCTGCCACCAATCAAGCTAGCGAATTCATATTCGGATGAGCGCCCTTCCTTCGGGTCATAACTATCCCGTATCTAATTTAGCATAGCCCTGGGCTTCCCTGTTCACATGTTGATCATGACATGATTTCCTAGCCGCATAGTCATCTGATTACCGTCGGCCAACCGGTAGGCCGGGTAGTGACCGAATTAGGTGAAGTAAGAGAATGATTCGGGAAAATTATTTGATTGCAACTACACGTTCTAGGCCACGTAAACCCTGTACAGTTGACGGCATTTAGCAGTCCTGTGTCTCCCGGAGAGGCCTATGGAGGCCTAGATCGAGATGATCTGTCGCGGCTTAGTTCTTCGGAGGCTCTCAGCTTTAGATAGCTGCTAAGTTTGTCGATATCTTACGGCCGAGCAGGAGACAGGCGATGTCCTGGTAAATAGTCGTTAGGCACCGAAACCTACATATCTGCTAGTAATCTAGAAATCTAGCCCAACTACCTGGAAGGACCGATAGGGCACCACAATTGAAACGGTTTGAAACGCGTCGAAGTCCTACCGCATTACTGGAATTCGTAAAGGGGGAAGCCTGAGAGGCCCGGCAGGGACCAGTTCGAGTATCACGACACCATCGGGCATGACGAAACAAAACGAAATCGTTGTGCTACCTGAAGTTTAGAAGAGTTCCGGGTTCTCCGTCATACACGAATTATCTGTTAGTAGCAGATGTATACATGACCCATCCAGTTCAATGGCAATATGCCTGCTCATCCTATACCAAAATCAGACCCCAGACTCGAGGAGTAAGGAGTAAGGCGTTGATCAAAGCCCGGGAGTACTGTTGATCTTGGTTATGAGATTTTCTTTACACCATTTTCCGTTATCTAACTTGTTCTTAGCCCCCTATAATAAATAGACGCCATCTGTAAGTGCTAGACTTTGTACCCCCTTGGCAACTTCTCCAGGTTCCGGGGGTCATCCCGACTTGTCTTCACCCCACCTAATGATAGCCCAACGAAGTACACTAGTTGTGAAAACCCAAAATACTTAATGTATGTTTAACCTTTAGGCTTGATCATGCATTAGTTTTCGACCCAGATCCTCAGGCTCGGTTCCGGTCCAGCATATAGAATGTCCCAGCTGATTTTCTGCTGTAGGTTTCATTTTCTAGCCCATAGATGTACTTGGGAATTTCTGTAAGTCCTACATAGTGGCAAATCAAGTTTTACCTGAGGTACTTTGCGATAATTGCGTTAAAACCTAACAGCACCAACTTACATGCTTCTCCTATTACATTTCGTTACAATACAACAGGTATTTATACTCTGCCTTAGTTCTAATAATTTTATTTCAGTCGTACTCCAGTAGCTACCTCTTAAATAAATATCGAACCATTAATTATCAAAGTCCTCGTGAATATCAGAATAAGTGTTCGTATATAAAACAAAAGAAACTATCATATGATAGCTAGGCGCCATACAGTCTTGCTAAGATACCAGAACTAATATTCTATATACTTGTTCTAAAAACTTGGTTCTGACTTTACGTAGTTTGCCGAAGGATAGGATGTACGTATCACAAACAACCCCGGACTTTTCTCCGTTAGCGTTTATGTGGATTGTGAATGTTTTCATCCTCTATCTTTTGTGATACAATGTCTTACAAGTTAGAAACTTAACCGAATTGGGGAACGTCCGCTTAAAGCCATTGTAGATCATCTGTGAGTGGCATTTATACTTCATTGAAACAGATACGAGGTACTATGCACTTCGAAAACAGGATCGTCAAAGCCATTATCAGAGATCATAATACTTAGGCCAGACAGCTAAAGGCCCCTTCAACAGTTGACTCAGATAGTTTGACTGCTTTACATGAAATAACGTCACTTTGAGTAAGAGTAAACATGTCCATATGTACCTAGATAGGTAGGTATAACTACCGGTAAGAGTTAAAAATGAAAACAGAAAGACTTTAGATATATGAGATAGTGTTCATAAATATACTCATATCTCTTATCTGTTACTCGCATTTTAATAGCCCATAGCCAACACACATCTCGTAGAAGATCAATAATAACACCTTCTCTTAGCGTAAAATCAGATATAGATTCACAATAGCCTACATTTTTTTAGCCAGATAAGAGAACTCTCGAAGTCTTGGCGAAAAAGCAGATCGATATAAATGTATGGATACCTCATAATTTCCTCTTAATCTAAGTTGATATGAGAAGTGTGTTCAGCAGCATCCAAATTTCCTAGCTGTTAGGGGGGAAGGGCACAGATTACGTAGCCCGAATAAGTAGGTCCACGTAGAAGACTTCATAGCTTAGAAAAAGAGATAGAAATTAATAGGCTCTATTGAACTATGTATCTTCCAGCAAACTCGCGGCTCACTACTATGTTATTTTTGATAGGCGTCATGAACTTAGAACTTCGAGGGTAGTCATCAGTGTATCTATGTCTATATCATACCTATACCAAAACTAAAATTGAATTGTCTCTCACAATTTAAAGTAGATTGTTGCCTTATCATTAAGTTGGTAGTTATTCTGACGGAAGTTCTAACTAGGGGAGGTATAAGAATTTATAAATGTTTAGAATAAGGAGATTTCTTTTTTGTTAGAAGATATCTACAATCATAAAACAAAGGCCAACTTATCCACCACTAAAATTTACGACAACTACCTATACTCAAATATAACCCATAAGAAATAACGATGGTCCCATCAGAGGATTGAGATACGAAAAGCAATCCAACGTAGTCATAAATCCCAAAGATTGCCAACTGAGTTTGTATTCTACATAGTTAATAGTAGTTTGAATTCAATTTATAAGTCATGATTCACGGGTATATATATATGCATAGGCCCTTCAAACTAAATGAGACACTACCTAGGTATCTAGGTAGGTAGCTATCGTGGTTAATCACCTGAAGAGAAAACCTTATAGCCCTGAACTTTCATTATATGAATAGTCTTTCAACTACCTCCACAGAGTTATCTATGCTATATTTATATACTCATTTAACAGATAGCTAGAAATTAAGTACTCTCCTAGTTAATCAATTATTACTATTACTACATTAATACGCTACTCTCGCCGATATAGGAACCTGGACACGGCGCTTGAGTTGTAACTCCTTTCTAAGTGAGCCTTAAGGCTACCTGCCATAAGTTTGATACGGCTGTTAAATACCTCGTACGGACCATAATGATCGTGTAGTTATTTTATTAACGCGGACTATTCCCAGTTGAGGTTATTTAACGGAAGCCCTTATTTTGAATTTGAGCCTTGTTAATAATAGAAAAGGGGCTTATCATTGAGTAACAGGCATTCACTGTTGATCCACCAGTGTGTATATAAGTACCTAATGTATTAGGTGTTTAGATAGACAAGTAAAGCACCGAGGACGACTCCTATTTAAAAATATTTTTAAATATTTAGTAACAATCATAGGATATCATAAAGATAAGAAATGTTTCGGTACGCATATGGTCCTGTCAAGTTGCCATACTCAAAAATAAATGAACATTGAGTTTATAGTTTGAATAAGAGAAAGCCAGAATAGGAAGTTTTATAGAATTTCTTACGTATTATATAGTTACATAGAGTAGAAAAGAGATTTTTCGTCATTACATGAACACGGAAGAAGCGGCGGAGAGGAGAGTACATAATGAATCTAAAAGCAACCATGTTGGAATATATAATTCAAAAAAGAGTAACTTGAACTTAGAAGAGGAGTAGCATTAAAAGTAGGTGAAGAGTATCCAGCCTAAATCTCCATAGAAGAGCGCGCACGGAAGACGGGCTACCTCTAGTTATTTTGGGCCGCGATTTACACGCACGGTGATTTCGATATCTATTAGGCTAGTAAGGGGGGTAATATATATAATACATCCTATTTCCAGTTCACTCCGAACAGTTTGAAATTCCTCGTTCCTTCACCCGCGGGCTTAGAGTCGGCGTTCTCTAGGTAAATCCTCGAATGGCCCCTGATATCGACACAGAAGTACTTATATTCAAAGTCGTCGTGATTGGCATATTTTACCAAATGCACATTCACCACACCATTATTTAGCGGTCCTTCGACCTATAGGACGTTAGACTCGTCAAAACTCATGGTTGACCAGGTAGACTTACATAAAAGTGCATGATTAGATGTTGGTTACCTCGCGCATCCGTATTAAACGTCGACCTATTATCATTAGTAATGAAACAGACAAGTCTGCTTCGGAAGAATCATACGCAATTGGACGAGCACGGCGCCATTTATTCATAGTCTCTTCGCCGTGTGCTATGATCTTCTTACTTTCGCCAAGCAGCCGTACACACTGTGGATCTTTCTTGATTCGGTCGACGGCTCGATTGAAGTAGGCAGTTTTACTATCAGGAGAAAATACGTCCGTATAGAGGAAATAGCCAACACCTCCCTAATGAATAATACCTTAGCATACTGTTAAGTGATGCGATAGACGGGAGCTATACTGTTAGAACCAAGCCAACTACGACAAGGCCGAAGTTGAAGGTTTGCTGTGTTGCACGCGACGCCTTCTCACCGGCTGAGAGCTCACTCCAAGGCACGAATCCATTATCGTTGAATGGCGTCACAGCCCTCCTCTTCGAAGCAGCTGAATTCGTTCCTTGGCTATGATGAGTAGCGTAAGTGCGACAGGCAATGGAGGGTTGTAATCGTGTGATAATAGCGGGAGAGCCGAATGACCGGAGTGGGAGTTTCATTACGGCGGTATTAAGTCCATCGGTACTTGTGCTGTCGAAGGGACTACTTCTTCAAATAGTTTGAAGCTTTGCGACAAAGGAAGAAAAAGTAATGAATAGAGCTTTAAAATGGAAGTTAGTTGAAGCTTCTGCAAATGCGATGTAATGTGGGGAAGACAGGGGAATGTTAGGTACACCGGTACCTCCGGACCCACCCTACTACCGTTGAACGGAGGTAATCAAGGACTATTCTAATTCTAGGCTAGCTTTATTTTGCTTAATAGCATGTGGGTCCATTGGTCCATTGGCCCATTCTTTTGAAGTTGGCATTTGGCGAAATCTGGCCGAACTCCTGATTTCAACGTCGACTTCTCGACTTCTTGACTTTCAACCGCCAACTTGTCCCTTTTTTCCTCAACACGTCGAATAACAACGAATAACGACATCTTTCCCCTACGACTCAACAACCCCTATACCCTATATTGTGCATCCTGCCCGAACGGGGGCTTAATCAGCAAGATGAGTGCGCTTGCAACCAAGCAGCAATCGCAGAAGATCTTCGAGAAGTTGAAGACCAAGTCAGCAAATAGGGTGCGTGATAATCCACTTATCGTCGCGATGAATACGTGTTTTCAATTACTAACGCGCACTCAAAGATATGCTTTGATTGCGGCCAGAAGAATCCTACTTGGACCTCGGTCCCTTTTGGCATTTACTTATGTCTCGACTGTTCCTCTAACCACCGAAATCTCGGTGTCCATATCTCCTTTGTTCGCTCCACCAACCTTGATCGTACGTCGCTTTCACGAGTTTAACCTCGAGCCTCGCTTCCCATAACCACATAGCACTAATAATATACATAGAGTGGCAATGGGATCAGTTACGTGTTATGAAAGTTGGCGGTAACGAGTCCGCCACCAAGTACTTCCGCGCAAATGGCGGTAGCGCCGCACTCGCTAGCAAGGACCCAAAGACCAAGTACCAATCTAACGTTGCGACCAAGTACAAAGAGGAGCTTAAGAAGCGGGCTGCACGAGACGCGCTCGAGTACCCAGAAGAGGTTGTCGTCACCGACGTAGCTGGAGAAGGCGCCGAGGGTAGTGCAACTCCTTCTAGTGAGCCAAATGACGACTTCTTTTCTTCATGGGACAAGCCGTCCATCAAGAGGCCTACGCCACCTATCTCGCGAACTAATACGCCGCCCGTTGTCGGCCGTACTGCCTCCCCATTTCTCAACGCCGGCGCCAACGGCAAGGAGATTTCCAGGTCTTCGTCCCCTCTATCTAAGTCTGACTCCGCATCTGAAGCCAAACCTGCCGCTAGTAGAGTCACCACCTCTGCTGCGCTTCGCAAGACAAACCCCTCAGCGCCTCGCAAAGCTAATGTGCTGGGCGCAAAGAAGACTACTGCCAAGCTTGGAGCAAAGAAGGTTACAGGAGATATCATCGACTTTGACGAGGCCGAGAAGAAAGCCAAGGAGGAGGCAGAGCGAATTGCCAAATTGGGCTACGATCCTGAAGCCGAAGAGGCCGAGGTAAAGCAGACTACTACATCTAAGACCGAGGCTTCCAATGTCATTTCGCCCACGCCAGTGAGTCCGCGTGGATACGGATCTGGTCACTCTCGCGAGAAGTCAGCAGCTGAGGTTGAGAGGTTAGGCATGGGCCTAGGAAGATTAGGCTTTGGACAGGTTGGTGGTGGCAAAGCCGCCGCCAGCGCCGCCCCTAAGAAGAACGCCGGCGGATTCGGCTCAGTTGGACCGGTTAAAGCAACTACCGAAGGTAGGTTCTATTATTTTTACAATCGTATCCACTGTTTAGCAATATGTACTAAATCTTATACCAGATGACGACGAGCGCTACGCCCGTAACAAATTTGGTAACCAAAAGGGAATTTCCTCGGACGAATTCTTCGGAAAAGGCTCTTTCGATCCCAACGCTCAGGCCGAGGCAAAGACACGTCTGCAAGGATTCGAAGGTGCCACTGCTATTTCCTCCAACGCGTACTTTGGTCGACCCGAGGATGAAGATCCCGCGGATGATTATGGTGACCTCGAAACGGCCGCCAAGGATTTCGTCCGCAAATTCGGTATCACTGCCGGCGACGATTTGGATAACCTTACAAGCGCGCTAGGCGAAGGCGCTACCAGACTCCAGGGTGCTATTCGTAACTACTTGAACAGTTAAGCGATCTACCGAAGTAAACGACAGTAGTTAGAAAAAGTAGTGGGAACTTCACATTTCACAAGCGGGGAAAGAAAAGTTAGACTCAGTCTCTACACTATCGACGGGGTTGGCGGGTCTTGGGAGGCATGGTGGTGTCGCTATCAAGCTGACGCTGAGACCTGTATAGGAGACGGTCGATCGGATGGTAAAGGGGCTGTTATGAATACAAACGGCTTTGCCAGCCCACGACTTGGACGTTATAGAGCAATTGGCACGGTACGCATAGTAATGAAACTTGATTATCTACCTAGCCTGCCCTATTGTCTTGTAAATTCGGCGTGACCTATTTCAGAGAGATTCTTAAGAGTCAAGATTTCTAAATAAGCGACCTGAAGTATAGGTCAAGTACCTAGTAAATGTTTTGTCTGCGATAACTCGACTAATACGACTATGCTAAAGATTTATCAAATGCTTAGAATCTTGTATACTCATTTCTAGTCTAATCAACCTGGTAGTATAAGAATTCATCGCCACTCTAGACAGGTAAAAAAGCCGTTAACCAGAAATGAAATGAAAAGAAAAAAAAACCACCCGTCCCCGTTACCAGACCCCTAACGTGATTAATTGATTGACTGTTGATCTATACCAAGCCGCAACCCCTCTCGGTTTTTTTTTATTACCCTCGCGTCTCCGCAAGATAAACATCATATCCTCGAATTCATCTAACCTGCCCACCCGCCTACCCATCTATACATCCATGCGCTCTCTCTTTTCCTCTCCTTCCGGTGGGGGGGTTTTTTTTCTCTTTGTAGTATTCCGTCACGGTAGTCAGCTAGTAAAAGCCAGCCTATCCTTAAATTCTTCAAACCTGTCGTCGACACGAACTCCGTTCCACGTTTCGCCGCCTTCTTTCCCGTCGTCGGTCTTGCCTAGCGCTGGTGTGCCGACTTGCTCGATGGCAAAGCTAGCCGCCACGCTGCCCCATGCGGCTGCTTCTTCGAGGCTCTTCCCCCTTGCCAAGGCGACGGCTAGGGCGCCGAGGAAGGTATTTCCGCCACCGGTGGGGTCGACGACACGGTCGGGCGAGCCAGCGTGGTACGCGGGGAGCCAACGCTCGACGCCGGGGTCGACTTCGATTTCCTCGCGGGAGACCATGCCTTCAGGGTCCTGCAGGAGCCCCGCGAATAACGCCTCCATATCCGTGTCTGGCTGTAAGCCACCATGTAATAAGGCGGAAGGCTTCTTGCGCTTCGGCTGCTTGCCGGGTACTTTGCGCTTTCGCCCGCCATTCCGCGCTAGGTAACAGCCCTTTTCGCCGGCGCGGACCACGATGGCGAAGGACTGCAGCGGCATAGAGCCTAGCAGCTGCTCGCAGGCCCGCTCGATAGCTTTCGTGCTGATCTCACCCGTGTCTGGGTCTAACCCCGAGTCGCCCATGAAGCCGGCCAGCTCGGAGTGGTTTGGGCTAATAATGTCGATAAGAGGGAGGGTGTTAGTGCAGTTTAGCAGCTCGTCCGGCGTACACAGATCCGGTACGGGCTCCCAGATAAAGATAGGCCTAGGCAATGCGCCACCATCTGCGCTGGTTAGACCGCTCCGCCTAGCGCGGATCTCGGCTACGAGCTCACGGCATCGGGTCGGCGAGCAGATGAGATGAAAGGAGCGGGAGGCGAGTAGAGTTGGGGTTAGATCCTCGGCGGTCAGACGCTTTTTGGGGGTCATGTAGCGGAAAGCACGGTTCTGATGCTCGTCATAGCCATTCCAGCCGCGGGTAGTAAGACGCTCGGGCGTAGGCCGAATTAGCACGGAAGTCTCCCAGGTAGATATGAGGTCTTCTAGCGCTTCCGGGAAGTCGGAACCTTTGTCGATGATCCAACCTACGGAGCTTGAGAGCGGTGGCGGTGAGAACAACCGTGCCCCCAGGGCGGAGTAGGTGCCGGCGCCGCCGAGGATATCTCTTACCGGGGGTTGCGGCGGCTGGTATTCAATTTCATCTTGAGATTATTTACGTTAGTTAGAATATATTAGTTTTGTAGTAGATATAGCGATAGTGATCAAATATCAATATGGCATATGGTTGAGAATTCGAATAGTAACATATCCCAAGTCCCAAGTCCCAAGTGTAAAGTTTAGTAACCTAGTATCATAGTTCTCCTTTGATCGATCCCACTTGGTCCAAATGCAGTCAACCGATCCGACCCTCAGGTGCCACCAAAGCTTTGGTATTCACGATCACGGGTCGATGAATGACGACGAGCGGATCCAATGAGAAACGGGTACCTGATCTCGAGGGACGAACTAAGGAAGGGGGATGTACCGTACCTATAATAAACATTCCTAAAGTGACGAAGTCTATCTCTTGAGAAGGCGTCTCACCATCCTCGGTTTTGGGTACATTTTGGTCATCCATAGCTTATTTTTCTGTTTCTCTTTTTTTTTTTTCGAGTCTTAACTTAATATTCTAATTCTCCTCAGATGACTGTTAGATGTCATGTCATGTCATGTACGATATCATACGGTCGGTGTAGATTTTGGAGTGCATGAACCTCAACCCTAGACCGCCCTCTTAAATGTGGCAGTGAGTAACAGTCAGAAGGTTCGCGCCTCAACGGTCAAGGGAATATTTGATAGGTAGAAAATAATCAACCAGGCTGAGCTTCTGCATGCAGCCTCACTTTTGACGGTTGTATTTTTTTTTTTAATATGAAATTTGTTGGTTTTTAAGGTGGGATGTAAATTACAACATTCGAGTTGCAATGTGAGGTAGCTTAAGGTAGATTATGTAGGTTAGGTACATAAGGTTAGGTACACCTAAGCTGTGTGTATTCTCCAAATACTTTAGTACACGTCTTTGTGTTTAAGACTTAATGCCTGCAGGTAAATGCATCTATAACCAATCAACGTTGCAGTTACATAGACCCACCTATACTATTTAGGATAAGAGACCAATCGCGTTTGGTAAGGGAAGGTGAAAAAAAGGGTACGTATCCCTGTTGGTAAAGCTTCAATCCAGATTCTTGGCGGCAGGCGATTGTCTGAATTTCGAAATTCCTACTCTTATGTATCGTTGACCTCGTCGTCATCATCTCAATTATTTCTTCTGCCTTTCATAGCTTACCTAGGCATCAGCATTTTGCAAACACATAAATCTCTACTTATAGTCGCTAGTTCGACTTAAGTATTGTTCGTTCTATTATATATCGAATTAAAGCGCCTCTTTGTGTCGGGAGTTCAACGTTGTCTTTTCCCCCCTGATCGAAGCTTCGAAACGTCGAAACGTCGAAACGTTATTACGTTGTTAAATCCTAACTTTAGATATACTTAAGCTGCATCTGTCACTACCAGCTAGGCGCAACTGCCAATATGGCGCAAAATCACATACATAATTTAGTTACTCTAATCAAGAGGTAGGCTGGCTTGAACTATCCCTAATTCCCTTTCCATATTACCTCCCCTCCCTATGGCAAGCGTTATGCATCTTCAACATCTTAGCTCTTATACCTACCCCATCCACATCTGAGATCTACTGATATTCTAACTTCTAAACTTAGGCTAGAAGCTGCTACTACTCGCCTAGAGGATATTGCTTCATCGACAATAGAGCTACCTCAAGTTGTCCCCGCCCTCACGGCTACCGTCGCAACTCCGTCTAACACATCGAGCCCTACGCCACAGCAGGCTATCTCCGCGCCGGCCCCTCCTGCACCCGTGCAAGTGCCTCAAGAACCTTTACCCGAATCTATTGAAGAATTCGATGCTTTCATCGGTCAGTCGGTTAATAAATATGTTACGGCTAGCAACAAGTTAGGCGGCTTAATTGCCGAACAGGCTGCTAAGGTGTTGGAGGGGTTCAGGCAGCAGCGTCGATTCCTGCTGATATCTACCAAGGCTAAGAAGCCTGACATAACGGGATCAGAGATGGTCGTCTACCAAGAACTACTCAAGCCAATCAACGAGGCCCTCATGGCCGTCGGTAGCATTAAAGAATCCAACCGCGGTTCTGCCGTTTTCTCCCAGCTAAGCGCTGTCTCGGAGGGTATCATGGTGCTGGCTTGGGTCACAGTCGAAAACAGGCCGTTCAAGCATGTTGAAGAATCTTTAGGATCGGCACAATTCTTTGGAAACCGAGTGCTGAAGGAGCATAAGGAGAAGTAAGAGATTAGTTATATCTAAGCATAAAGCCAGTGCTAACCCAAGTTTTAGGAATGCTGACCAGGTTGAATGGATCCAGTCCTTCTATCAAGTATTCCGTGATCTTGCCGACTACGTTAAGCAATACTTCCCCAATGGTATCCCCTGGAACCCGTCCGGACAGCCTGCATCTGAGGTTGCGAAGTCACTGGAGTCCGTTCCGGCTGTTGGCGTCGCAGCTCCGCCGCCGCCTCCTCCCCCAGCCGCAGGTGGTGCCCCGCCGCCACCACCCCCGGGTCCGCCGCCTGTTCTTCAGATCAAGGATCAAGCCGGGGGCTCCAAGTCAGAAGGGATGGGCGCAGTGTTTAGTGAATTAAATAAGGGTGAGAGCGTAACCAGAGGCTTAAGGAAGGTCGACAGGTCAGAAATGACACATAAGAACCCGGCGCTAAGAGCAAACTCGACCGTCTCGGATTCCTCCGCCAGGGGCAAGAGTCCCGCACCTGGGAAGAAACCGAAGCCTGAGAGCATGCGCCTCAAGAAGCCTCCCAGGCAGGAGCTTGATAGCAATAAATGGTTAATCGTATGCGTCTCTCTTTATCTCTTTTCCTAGGCTCATTTATTCCTATGTATTCCAGAAACTAACAGCCACCAGGAAAACTTCGATAAGCACCCCGAGCCGATCGAGATTGAGGCCGAGATGTCACACTCGATCCTAATCAGCCGATGCAACCAGACGACCATCATTATAAAGGGCAAAGCAAACGCGGTTACAGTTGAGAACACACAGCGACTTAGCATCGTGGTCGATTCTCTCGTATCGACCGTCGACGTGGTCAAGTCGTCCAACTTCGCGCTCCAGGTCCTCGGCACTCTACCCACCGTTCTCCTCGACCAGCTCGACGGCGCTCAGGTCTACCTCAGCAAGGAGAGTTCTTCCACCCGCATCTTCTCCTCTAAGTCCTCCGGCATCAACATCAACATCGTCGCCGGCCCCGACGATGATTACAAGGAGATTCCCCTCCCTGGCCAGATCTGCTCGTATTACGACGAGGCGAAGGGCGACATGGTTAATGAGATCGTCGACCACGCTGGTTAAGCGGTTGTAGGGTTTTGTACCATGCGTATATATATTAAGTGCATACACACTTAGGTCATGGGCGACTGTGGAAGTTGTATTGGATTGTGCAGCTCGTTTAGATGTAAGACCAGATACGTTTGAAGGCACGTTCTACCCGGGGGTCGAGAGCGCGGTTGAAGAAACTAAAGTAGTGTAAAGCCAGGATATACCCGGGCGCACTCGCGGCCTCTGGGTGCCTACAGTGTCTACTGTATCGCCTAGATAGCATGTCGTATTTAAAGCATTCACAACTAGAAATATTCTCATATCTTTAAATGGAATCGAACTAGAATATACGACTGTGACTTGTCTTCTTAAACTCTTTGATTTATTCTAACAAAGCTACATGTAGCCACTATAGCTAGCTTCTAGGTACATATAGAATATATCCACCAACACCGGTCCGATGCTCTAGAAACCTAGCGAAACCAAAACTGTCGGAGAGAAGCGCTCAATGCGCCAACAAGTCACGCGACGGTATATACCCAAAATATAGGGGGAAAGATACATATACCCTCTATTCCTCTCGCTAACGACATACATAAAAGCGTACGCAACAAACGACCTATTCCTTACAGCTTGGCCTTGGGCGGCTCGATAGTAGGGAGCAGTAAGTCGCGGAGGTCATTAGCGGCCTCGTTGATGTAGTAGCTCATCTTATTGCTGCCGAGGCCCTTGGACACAATGTTGAAGTTGAGACTGTTAAGAGTACATTAGCATTTTTGCCTCTTGCATATTACCATATTATAGGCAACTAGAAAAAGAAGAAAAGACTCACCTGTTCTCATTAATCATATACGCAATTCCGAACCCATCATCAATGACCTGGCTCCAGCCATACCCATTGAAGAACTCGGAACTAAGCTGGCTAGTAGACAAGAACCAGGAGCTACTGTAGCCGTAAGCCGGGTCCTTGTAAATAGCAGGGAGATCCTCTCCAGGCTCAAGCAACTTCTTAAGACCGAAGAGATGGCGGTCGACGCCCTTGCCGTCGGACGCAGCGCCGATGTACTCGATATGCGCAGCGACGGCCTTGCGGAACAGGTCTGCGCGGTCCTTCTCAGAAACCTCGGAGTCGGCCATAGCGTTGCAGAAAGCGACGCTCTCGTCTGAGACCGTGCGACATGTCTCTGTGCGCCCCTGCTGGAAACGCCGGGTCGCGGCAGACTCGTACGTTGGCCGGTTCTTGCCGTACATCTTGTGGTACGCCAGCTGGATCACCATCTGCACGTACGCATCGGGAGAGCACTTAAACTTCTTGATCAAACCCTTGCCGTAGGCCTGGTAGGCCTGGACTGCGAGCTCGTGCTTTCCGATGACCTCGTTGAAGTCCCGGATTGCGCGGTCGATCTCTGCCTGTACGTCCTTGGTGATTTCAAAGTTGACCGGAGTTGGCTCGGGCAGGTTAGATCGCACTGACGGGTTGCTGAAGTCGAGCTTGTTACCAAAGATAACGTCGTTGACATAGTCGTTTAGACGGTGTGTAGGTGTACCATCCATCATGCTGTGCTCGCCCAGAAAACCGGATGTACCGTTGTCGTTCACGATAAACTGTAGAGGCTTGTCATACCATCGGTTCTGACCATCGCCGTGCCAGTACTGATGTGCGCGCTCTTCGAGAGTAACTGGGGAAGCATCGTCTAAGCATACGACGAAAGAGGCCGATTCAATGGCTTCGATGGCCGCCTTGTTCTTAGGAGAAGCGTCTAGTAACACCTTGCGCGCGTCCGTCCAAACATCTCTGTTCTCAGAAGTGAGAGCACCCACTGCAGGAGCGCCCTCTGCAAGGTCATAAATGCGGGCAAACTGCGACTCAAGCTCAGAGGTGTTGAGCTGATTTCCGTCGACTTCGTGAGCAACCTTAAAGAATTGGTTCTTTCGGATGACGATAATGTGCTTATGGTCCTTGGGGTCATATTTGACAGGGTGATCGGCAGGTCTAGCTGGTACGCGACTGGTATTGAACATCCACTTGTAGCTGTCCATGCAAATCGGCAGCTTCTTCATGTACTCAGGCTCGAGCGAGCCAGTGTCGACTTGTTTCTTGAATTCGAGTGCGGCGGTGGTCAGGGCCGCGGCGCGCTTTGCGGGGTTTCTCCGCCGCCGGTCATCTCGGTGAGAGTAGAAGTAACTGACATAGGGAACAACGGGATCTCGATAACTTAAATACGCTGCGTCGTTCCACCACTCGTATATCCAGTTCTTGACATTGGGGTTTTCACGCCGTGCGATCAGTTTCTCCTGTAACTTCTGTCCTACACCCCCAGGTTTTATAAACTCGTCAACAGCCTTTTTACTTGCGGCATATTCGACGGGGCTTAACAAGGGATGTAAGCTCTTCACGTAGCGGGCTGCGGTCTCTTCGAGGGTCGGGACTGGTAATCGAGGAAGCGATTCTTGAAATCGAAGCATTGCGCCTTTTGATTTGTCCTCCGCATACCCTATATCGTTTTATTAGCGATTATGAAAAGCCGAGTTGCTTCTCTCTTGCGCTCATAGAACTAACCTGCGGGAAGGGAGCTGTTGCTCCGTCTTGCTGCCGGCGCCATCAATATACTCTTTAAATTAGATAAATATTAGTTTTGCGCTATTACTCGATATTCAAGATCAGAATTCAGAATACGCACCTTAGGTGTTATAGTTTGTCTTATTACGGGTATTCTCAGAGCGGTAGCCTGTGCCCGACTCTTTGCCAACGAACTCAACATTACCAAAGGTGTTGTCTCTGAATACAGAGTAGAATACGAAAAGGAAAAGGGAAAAAGAAAAGCAATGACCAACAAGCTCGTAAGCTATCTCGTGGATACCAGGTAATCAAAGGAACCGCGGTATGATGCGGTATGGTGTCCTTGTAAGTGTGGGACCTAGGCTATTTTCCTTGAACGGGGCGCCGTCAATGGAGTTTAATTAATTAAGGGAATTAAAGGCGGGTTGGGGCTGGCGGGTTAAGGGCTAAGGGTACCTAACTCTAAGCTTCGTACTTCCAGCGGTTAGCCGATAAACCGTAACTTCTTCAAATGTTCAACCGCGAACCTTAACAAAATGGCGTCGGCAGTATGACCGGAAGTACTCGAGCTACAGCCGCATCTGGAAATTGGCTGTGCAAGTGGGTTGCTTCGGCTGCCAGATCTCCAATGCCGAGGTAAATCAAATCTATGGATCTTTCTTTCCCCAGACTATTTTAAATGCTTTAACCGCGACTTGCGGGAATTTATCTTGTGGCTTAGCCTCACAAGATCCATTCCACTCAAGATCAATTGTCAAATGTCCGAGCCACACATCCTCTCCATTTCCATTTTCACATGCAAAGCGTATTTCGCATTGGATCCAATCCAACATCTCATTACATCATCGCTGCTGCGTAACGCTTAGGTACCTACTTACTGCTTCATATAATTTCGAAATATTCTAGAACGATGTGACCCAGATGCTTGGTTTAGACTTTGAAGTGATTGGACGGATAGCATTACACGGGCCAGATCTGCATATAGAAGATATATTGTTGTTATGTTAGTGAACTTGAATCTATAGACTATCAGTGTCGAGTGCTAAGCGAAATTCAAGCAACTTAATAAGATCGCTTTCCGATCTCCTCCCTTGGAAACCAACAGCAAAGATCTAAGTATTAAAAATAGCCAGTTCCGATTACTATTCAATGGCATTATAGTTTGTTGAGTGATATAAGGAATGGAGATCCGCGCTTGACGTGCGGGAAGCTTGTGTTTACCTACGCCTACATAAAAAAACTATTGAATTAGTTCAGCAGTTTTCAAAAGTATTATACTTCAAAGCTGATTTTAATCAACTCACTATTTTCTAATGCATCGAAGTTTATATTACAACCTTCAAGAGACTATTTGATCATTTAACCTCTATGTAATATATTAGAATCTAGTAATGAAGATGACGAGATATCTTCACGGGCAAGTTTAGTATCTGAGTTGAACCTGAGACTCTTCTCCGCGTTGCCAGAGCGCCCATGTCTCACCCGCATTAGCTAAAGCTTCCGCTGCAACTCTAGGTCTTATTAGCATTCTCCATCCCACTACCGCGTCTTTGTAGACATTCCACCAAAACCGCGACCATGGCTATATCAACTGTTGGCTTCAAATACGGGCTTAACGTCCATCGGTTTGGTCTTCCAATCCCAGGCCAGGTCGTTTCTTACAATTCATTCTTTTCTCTGCTAACAAGCTTAGTCACTCTTTTACCATCAACTTCTCTTCTTATTTCACTCTTTTCTAAATCTTTAAGTCGCTCCTTTACTTTATTCGTCATTTTGGACATTCGTTTAGGCTAGTCGCCGCAATGGCAACCGGATATTCACTCACTACGCATTATGCCGGCCAGGGGCTGCTTGATAGCTTCAGTTTCTTTACCGGGAACGATCCCAGCCATGGCTTTGTTGAGTATGCATCTGTGTTCAGCTATTATTAAATAATACTGTCTTATATAGATATCTAACTGTCTCATAATAGTTATCAGAGCAAAGAGGACGCTTTGGCTAAGAATCTAGTTTCTGTCGAGAACGATTACAATAGCGTGAGACTCGGCGTTGATTCAAACAATACATATTCGACTAGCGATAAGGGGCGACCTAGCGTACGACTGACGAGTGATGATGCGTTTACTCACGGTCTTTTTATTGCGGATATCTATCATATGCCAGCATCGACATGCGGCACTTGGCCTTCCTGTTGGTTCTAATTATCCCAACTATTGTAGTTTGATCTGACATGTTCGTTAGTCTGGGCTTTCAATAACGAAGACAACGGAGCGGAATGGCCTTTGGGAGGCGAACTAGATATTATAGATGGCGCTAATACCGCTCAACGAAACTTATACTCTGCTCATACGTAAGTATATTTGTCTGCAAGCTACGAAGCCCAGCTAAGTATAGTAGAACTACAGGATGCAGATCTCCCAGCGCTGGTTTCACTGGGGAGCAAGGTCGAGCAAACTGTTCGCCGACGGTAAGTCAAGTATGATGATCACTTCGGGACATAGCTAATACCTGGCACTTAGCTTGATAACATCGGCTGTTATACTGTATCCCCTCCATCTGATACTACTTCATACGGCGACGCCTTTAACGCTGAAGGGGGTGGAGTGTACGCTCTTGAGTGGGATTCTGAAGACCTGAAATTATGGCATTTCCCACGCTCTATAATCCCCGATAACATCGTGTACGCTCACGTCGTAGGACCTGATCCATCGACATGGGGACCACCACACGCTGTTTTCGGCGGCTCTTCTTGCAGTCCTGATGAATACTTCTTCAACATGAGCCTCGTACTAAATATAGTAAGTTCATATCTCCGATAGGACTACAATATACTTATACGAGGTGACAGAACTTCTGTGGCGATTATGCAGGCAAATTCTGGGGTAAAGCTGACCAGTGCAACCGTCTCGCCCCTACGTGTGAGGAATTCGTTGCTGAGAATCCGGATAGTTTCCAAAGCGCGTAAGTAATCGTATAAACCAAGGAGTGCCGTTTAGCAACTAAGTTTAATGGAAGTTACTGGGATATCAATTTCATCGACGTATATCAAATGGGACCGTTGTCAGACCTGACGATACCGCCCCTTTCCACCAACACCACACCCTCGAGTATCTCATCAACATCCAGCGTAACAGAGGCACCAACCGGCGTAGCCCCAACTCATACCCGCACCATCACGCTATCCACAGTAAAACCTACCGAGACCGGTGGCGCCCCGATAAATCGCAGGGACATTAACGACCACACTCTTCTCGGATGTTTCCAATCACACGAGAACTTCAAATCATTCTCACGAGTTATATCGGCGGCAGATATGGACAACAGAGCCTGCGTATCTGCTTGTGCTGGACACAAGTATGCTGGTGTACGGGGCGAGTAAGTACCTAACATATTAAGTAACCTGCTAGTCATCAGTTATACTAACCCGCATCATAGAACGTGCTACTGCGCCGATACACTTGGGGGATCAAGCGGAGTTGAGAACGAGCGATGTAATACGCCATGTCCTGGAAACGACCACGAAATCTGCGGCGGCCTCATCGACTCGCCTAGCTACTCTCTTCTAACGAACTCCTCCGCATCGGCATCTAAGCCCCACCACCATACCACTATAGACGATATCCTACTCACAGTCTACGGAAACCTATCCAACGACCCGGCGCCTCCGGCCGCACCCGCAATGGGCGGCAGCCACTACCACCCCTCAGCAAAGCCAGCACACAACGCGACGGTGACAACCGACGTAACTATAACATACACAACCGTATGTGCCTCAAACCCAGCAAAACTGATCGAAGTGGAATACCACACGACAGTAACATACGCGCCATGCACCTGCACCAAATCCCAGCCCAACCCAGCCTACCCAACGACCAAGGTCCTTCCCCCAGCAGCGCTCGCCGCCATACCCATGAAGATGTACAAGACAACGTGTCGAGCATGCGGTCCGCACGGCGAGAGTACCGTGACGTTGACCGTGCCGAAAGCCGTGTACACATCTAAGGTCGTCGTTACTGCTACGGCCGTGCAGACAGTCATTCCTCTCGTCAGCAACGGAACTTATCTCACGAACGCGACGACCGCGGCCGTGGCGATGGCTACTGTTACTCCTCCACCCCCACATAGTCCTCGGCCCAGCAGCATTAACGTAACGCCCCTCGTAGCCGCCGCCCCTCCTCGCAGCGAGACTTTTAGCGCTGCGCAAATCGTTGGCTGGGGCGTGGTAGCGTGGTTTGGTATATTTGGGATTATGCTTATCTTATGATAAAGACTCCTTTCTACGTTTTTTTTTACCTATCTTGATTTCATTTCTTTGGGTTGGTCGGTTGTCTATATTTCCTTTCCTTGGTCTCTTTTAAATAACGTGTATGGTGTGGAGTTTATGGAATCGAGGGAGGTTTGGCGCGATTCGGTTTACATCTGGTGTAGAGGCTGCGGTACGGCAGCATGATAACGATGATGAATTTCTGGAAGTAGGATTCGGTTTATGAGCTTTTATGCTATGTTCAATTACCGGCTAGCCCGTGTAAATACCCAATAAATCCTCTTCTTGAACCATCAAGTTTTATTTCTTCATCTTTTATTTTGGTATTTATAAATGCTGTCGCTAACTTTCGACTCATCCAAACCGGCACGGTATTCCGGTATCAAGCCAATCGAAATGTCCTAGACCCGGGTATTACGGCATCGAGCCCCTGTGGTATAAACCCGCCTCCCAACTTAGGATAGGGGTTTAATTATCACCTGGGTGCTACTCCTTACTAATAAATCCTCACGCAGTTTTCCTGTGATCTCAAATTGTGATCGTTATAGGGGACTTTTTGGTCAATTTCCCTGAAGTCCCATTCTGCATGCCAGCATTGATCAGAATGCTCCGATTTGCGACTCCGCCGAGGAATAGCCAGTGCCATAAAATGCTGATGACGCCGTAATATAGCACGCTGTATACATCCAGCCAGGCTCGGTAGTCAAGTACGTTGTAAAACAACCCTGGCTTCGGACGAGACATGGCTCTCTCATACTGCTTTTGACACTCATCCCAGAACACGTGCTGGAACCCTCGGCCACAGTGGACATGGCCAAACATATGCACTTTGGGCTTCTTCCTCCATATCTCTCGAAGTAGATGAGGACAACCGAGGGATAGATCCAGATGATGTTTCTAAAGCGATATATTTAGATATAGTTGCTCCAATTCACAAGAGTGCTCACTTACTGGCGGAGTATGCGTTACAAGAATATCTGTATCTATAGGTACGGCGTCTTCCCACGGGTTTTGGTATGATGTGTATTGGAACCTGTAATAGTAACTATGTTTAGGAGTCATGTCCAAATATCATAAAAGGGGGTTAGCTTATACATACGCATTATCAGGCCCACCGCACTCAGGGATGTCAGGGGCACCATAGATATTCAATTTCCGTCCATCCTGAAAGTCAAGGGTGATAGATCTATGCTCAAGATAATGGATCGTTCTCATATCGACAGAATTACCATTCAGCTTGTCTTCCTCCGTCCTAGAGTTGATATCGAACCAACTATCGTGATTACCACAGATAACAATCTTGTGTTGGTGCGGTAAAGAAGCCAGCCAGTCGATCTGTTTTTGAATGGAGGCGGCTTTACCGTCATTCACCAGGTCACCACAGTGGATTAATAAGTCGCCATTAGGAACGTTTTGAACGATAGACTCGTGCGTATCCGATAAGCATACAATCTTGATGGGATGCTTTCCCCGTGGCGGCTTAGTTCGGTTACTGCGTAGCCATAAGATTATGTGGTACATATAGAATATAAGCCCCTGAAGAGGTGCCTCCAGGAGCCAATCCAGTATTGTCGGACTCTCCCAAATGATGGGACGGCGTAGGCCCAGCTTAACGAGCAGTCCCATGGCGATGGTATTTCTGTTTGGTGCCCTATTTGGTGCCCTATGACTTAGAGAGCGGGCCTAATTAGGTGTTAAGCTCACTAAGAATATTTTGGGTAGGTAGTTGATAATCTATGAATGTTAAGGGGTAAATTCCAAGGATGTAAGAGGAGCATCGCCTTTTATTAGACAGACAAGAAGCCACATAGCTATATCCTAGTTCTGAGGTTTAATATAAAGTTGGACCTGACAGAGATGTCGTTGTGTTCTTACCGCCGCAAAATGTAACAGCAACAGGGACCCCGGCTAACTGTAGAGGCCCATTCGGTATAGATCCCAGCGGAACGTGTTCGCTAATGATACCTGTTAATCCTGTAAAAATACGCTAAAGCTTGCTGCAAGCGATAACTTTAGACTGTTTAGAGCAATTTATAGCGTACATCACCCAAAGTTTATCGCGGGGCACTTACAGGGACTGCACGGGCCATGGTACCTAAAACATGTCATCGATCCAAGTGGGATCCAAGTGGTCCCAATCGTATCAAATGCGAGATGACGTTGATCAACAACTTGATTCTATTATTGCCGATTTTCCTTGATATCGGACCATTCAGCTACACACATGTGCGCGTATGTAACACATGCACACTTAGCAAATTTAATACAATCTACCAATTTTATCTTTTACTTTTAAATTCGTCTTTGTAGAGGGACACAACCTTATAGTAGTATATCTACCTCCTACCTAGGTAATTTACTTCCTACGATCACTTCTCCTAATAGACTTCTTATACCCTCGGTTTTCTCTATTAATACTTTAATATCCTACTATTCTACTACATCCAGATCGTAGACCTAACACGTTATAATTAGTTGGGCATCTATACTTGGGCAACTTAAGGCGAAAGGCCTCACCGAGCCGGCATAACTACAACCATTGCTAGATCATGTCGAGCATCCGGTCTCTCTATGCCTCCGACGGCGGTCACCTCGGGGGTAACATGGACGTAGATTATGTCGTCCAGTACAAGGTTTCCAGCGACAAAGCTGAGGCCGCAGCTGGCTTCACCCAGCTAATTGAAGCCCTCACTAGGGTTGGGCTCGCTTCAGAAGTTCGATACGGCGACGGCTCTTCCTTATTGGTCTTTCTTAAAGTGGCATCTGAGAAACATCTAACCAATCATATTTATCGCGAACGTGTTCAAGATTGGCTGTACGGCGTGCGAATTACTACTCCCAATAAGGACGTGGCTAAAGAATTCGCCGACCAGCCTGCCACCGAAGCTGAGAGGCTTCGTACCGTTTACTTGCTGATCACGAAGCCCAAGAACGAAGGTGGTGCGGGTATTGCGCCCAAGGTTGGCAGGTGGAAGGACGTGGAATCTATCTTCCCACTTCATAATCACGCCTTCAACCGACAATGGATCAAGCAATGGAGTACCAAGTACTTCCTGGACGACCAGGATCTCGACCAGATTCGCGATAAGTTCGGCGAAAGCGTTGCTTTCTACTTTGCGTTTATGCAATCCTATTTCGCATTTCTAATATTCCCAGCGGCATTCGGATTCGGCGCTTGGCTTATTCTTGGTCAATATTCGTGGTTTTATGCCATTATTAGCTCCCTCTGGTCTATCACCTTTTTTGAATGGTGGAAAAAGAAGGAGGTCGATCTCGCTGTCCAATGGGGCGTTCGTGGAGTATCTCGGATCCAACGTCCCCGAACACAGTTTAAATGGGAGCATGAGGCTATAGATCCTGTCACTGGCGAAGCTGTGAAAGTCTACCCTCCGATGAAGAGGTTGCAGACGCAGCTGTTACAGATCCCATTTGCATTTGGCTGTCTGGCTATACTTGGGGCTCTCTATGTCTTCTGTTTCTCTATCGAGATCTTCCTCACCGAAATCTATAACGGCCCATTCAAATCTTACCTGGTTTGTAGAACCTCCTAGTCGGATAATATTTTTTCTAATGCGTTTTTAGACTTTCACACCTACAATAATACTCACGGGATTACTGCCAGCACTGTCAACTATTCTTAGTAGTTTTGCAGAGAAGCTCACTGACATGGAAAATTATGAGACGATAGACAGTGAGTGAATTTTCCCAATATTTTTCCGTTTCTATCCCGTTAACATCTATATAGATCATCATGCCGCTCTCGTTCGAAAGTTATTCATCATTAACTTTATCACCTCTTATACTCCCCTTTTCTTGAGTGCATTTGTTTACATGCCCTTCGGGAATCTTCTCGTGCCATATTTGGATATTTTTAAGATTACCGCCGAGCAATTCTCCAGCAAGGAGTCGATCACTACTCAGGGCTTTCAGATCAATCCTGATCGTTTAAAGAAGCAGATGATATATTTCACGGTGACAGCGCAAATTGTGAACTTCGCGCTCGAAGCTGTTGTTCCCTACGTGAAGCGCAAGGCATTCAAGGAAGTCGAGAGAGTTCAATCCAAGGGTAAGGTCTCAGTGTCCAGCGACGTCCCCGAAGAACACGAGTTCCTTGAAAGAGTTCGTAACGAGGCTCAACTTGACATATACGACGTTACTGTCGATTACAGAGAGATGGTTGTTCAATTTGGTTACCTATCACTCTTCTCTGCGATTTGGCCACTTACGCCGCTTTGCTTCTTAATCAATAACTGGGTTGAGCTCCGATCAGACGCTATGAAAATCGCGGTTAACAGCAAGAGGCCCATTCCTTGGAGAGACGACTCAATCGGACCATGGCTTAATGCACTCGGCTTCTTATCTTGGTTTGGAAGCCTTGTAAGCTCCGCAATCGTGTATCTCTTTAGTGGTGATTCCGAGGGCCCCAGCGGCGACCCGTCCAACATTGTTGCTTGGGGTCTTTTATTAAGCATCCTCCTTTCCGAACATGTGTACTTGACGGCGCAATTTGTAGTTCGGTACGCGTTAAAGCAGATGGATTCGCCTGGGCTTCAAAAGGAGCGAGCCGAACGCTTTGCTATAAGGAAACAGGTGTTAGAGGAGAGCTTGGGGCCTGAAGCTACAGAGAAACCCCTGCCTCCCACACCACGAGTTGGGGAAAAGATTACCCGGGAGTCTTTAGAGGACCAAGCTCGCGAGATATCCACTCACGGTGGAGGAACCCCTGAACAACTGTAAGTTTCTTCTAAGCCTAACTAGAGAGCCGTCATACTAATATTTTTTTTAGATTCTGGCTACGACAGCAAGGAATGGATGAAACGATTCAAATAGGTCGTACCCTAATTTCACAGGGGAAAGCGGCCAAGAATTAGGTGTCCGGGCAACTTTGTATCACCTAGCGGGTTGTAGAAGAGGTCCTTGTAGTTGTGTTGTTGACCATAACGATAAGCTTAGTGGTTGAGTGGTCGAGATTGGTGTTGTAATTAAAACAATAGTATATTATTATTCACGTACTTTACACTGTTAAATAAGGCAATTGTAACATAAGACAATTTCATAAGTTGTTGTCACTATCTACATACGGGTGGTCTCTCCGGGGTGTCGAGACATATATCATTATAGATTTTGATGTAAAACCTTGAAACGCAAGTCAAAGATAAATAGGTATTTACGAAGTATATGTTGATATCATCTATCAGATTTTTAATAACCCCAAAATCCACCCAATACAAGCCCAACCCATGCCGCTAAACAAAAGGAACAGAAAGTCAATGTTTTCCGCTAAACCCACCCTACAAGAAACGCTCGCTCGTTTCGCGTCTCCTATTCATCTCCGGTGAGACTAACTTTAACCAAAAAGTCCAAATAACTATAGAATAACGAAGAAGAATAAAACAATAATAATAACAATAAGCAATCTAACACCGGCGCCAGACGTAGCTCCAGCTCTCAGAGGCAGTAGTATCAGGGTCCTTGCCGAAGTAGCCGTACTGCGCGCCGTCGGCCTGGAGAGCAACGCGGAAGTTGACGTTGAGCAGGCCGACGTTGCCCTTGGAGCTCGTGCAGGGCGAGTACACGACCTGGTTGTCGGGAACGGTGCTGTGCGCCGTGACGTCTTGGTTTACGCGGCCGGTGCCGCTGTTGGCTAGGGAGCCCTTGATGGTGGCCTGTTGGGGGGATGAGATGGTTAGCGATTGACTACCTAAGGTACCTAGGTATTGGTATTGCGCAAGAATCAAAAATGGAAAAGACAAGACGACAAAGGGAAAGGAAACGGGGGAAAATATCATACAGTCTTATCAGCATCCTCGCTCCAAAAGCTCGTAACGTAGTAATCCAGCGACGCGCCGGGGTCGAGCACCAAGTGGCCCTTGACGTAGACGTCCTTGACGCCGACCTGCCAGCCGGCCGCGGACCCGGCGATCGACAGGTGGGCCTGGCAGTTGACGGAGGAGTCGGCCGCGGACGTGGTGCGCGCCTCGAACGAGTTCAGCCGCAGCGATATGTCGTCGAAGCCGCCCGTGCGGTCCACCGCCGGCGACGCCGACGGACATCCGCTGCCCGAGTAGGATACTGATACGATGCGCGGCGGGGGCGACGGCGCGTCTCGCGTCGTCAGTTGGGGGTTTGCGGCGGGTGCGGCGGCAGCGAGGCTGGCGAAGATGGGGAGCAGGGTTGAGGTGCGCATCTTGGTTTTTGTGGATGGGTGTGAGGGTGCGTTTGTTTGGGTTTGTGTATTATATATATATAGAGGAAGTTGGGGATAGAAATAGAGCTCGAGGACTTCTAATTAATAAGTAGATATATATATATGACTTTGCTTGTCTGTCTGATTATCTGATGAGTATATAGACCTTCTATTCCAACAACAACAACAAGCGGACAACACGAGTCTTTATAGAAGACGTCTCGTCCGATCCATCACATGAGATAACCCAGGAGCGCAACTCACGGATCAGCTCCGAGAAGTTAGAAAAGAAATCTCGAACGCCATCGACGTCTGTAAATCGAAAATAGGACTGCCATTCTAGGCCGGGGTCCATGGAACCCGGCCCTTTTCGATAATTTCGCCTCCTAATCAAGAATACCATCCCATTTCATCCCATCCCATTCCATATTATCGTCATCACCTTACCTTAGGTACACACACGCGCGTCTGTCCGCCCACTATCGCATCCAAGCAAAGCAACAGATAGCGGTAGCGAGCTTTCTTCGCTAATTCTCGCCAGTCTTGCCAACCAACGACAAGCAGCTAGGGCGTGGGCACTTTAGCCATATTAACCAGTTACCCATCGCGTGCCCGGGAAAAAAGGCTGTTGGAGCCCCGGGACCCTGAAGTAGTTAGGTGAGACTCCCAATCTTCCCACCAGACCCAGACCCATCCCAGCGCCCCGGGTAATAAGAAGAAAGACAAACGGTGCGAGCAGGGTATCCGTGATAGCAAAGCTGGTCTAGAATGCCTCGCTCAGTCCAGATGTCAGGTTTTAATTTGCGGTGCGCGAGACTGGGTCAGTCTAAGAAGTCTTCCAACCCAATGCTCGGGCGTGCATTGTGGACAGTTTTGCATCAAAAGACTTGGTAACGAATATATTCCTAGGCCCGTTCCGACGTGCTGCGTCGGCGACGAAAGCGTGGTGTTTATTTTCGCACCGAGTCTAGATCTCGTCCTGCTTCTATTTATGGAATATGTCGTCGTAGCTCTAATCTCCCTTGTCGGTGAGTAAAGCAAGCCTAGACCAACGTAATCGGTCCATTATCATCTGAATTGCTTGCATCATTGCAATTATAGACTGTCGAAGAGTTTTGCAAATGATTGAAAGCTCTTCTGGAGCCATCTACAGTACCAATAAACGAGATTACTCCTTCGTTATAAGAAGCTCTAGTCGGCATCCATAGCTTATTGGAATAAAACCGGCCCATCTAGACGGACGTCTCATAGCGATAGGCCTTGACAAATATATGTCGTTCATTAATAGTATACCTCAAAACTTCATGTTGTTTATCAGATACTCTCCCCAGCCCGTAGCTTTTTTTAGATGCTACCCCAGACGCCGGTGCCTGACCCAATGATACATGCAGCTGCAATATAACCCAGATCTCAAATCGTAATCAAACCATGATACGTCTAAGACCCTCCGTGCCGCCGAGGACCCGACGTCCTGTTACGGCACATCTACCCTGGCCGCTTTCCCACTTGCCGGCTTGATCGGCCATAAACTCCTCCTGTCTCTGATGTGAACCTTCGAGCCACCTATGTATGCAGGCATAGCAGTAGACCACACCCGTCTGGCAAGCCGTCGCCGTTGTGATTTCGTCTTCGCAGATGGGGCATAGCTCAGAATCTTCTGGCGCAGGTACAGTGAATATAGGGAGCAATGATGGAGTAGCAATTGGCGCATCTTCTGCTGACGATATCTTAGGTCGTTCCTCTTCTTCCTTCTTACTCTTCTCGTCGTGACCCTTCTTTTGCGATACCTTGACTCCTAATGCGGATAACCCAGATACGACAGGTGGCGGTAGCTCGAGGTTCTCGGCAGCCTTCCTTGACAACTGCTTCGCAAAGTCCGATGCATACCACCATTCGAGGAACTTCAGCGCAAATATGCTAGTCGGTAGTAGGACTGACAAGCTACTTAGCAACCTCGGTCCTATTACTCTCGGATTAAGGAGACTGGCAGCCGTAAGGGGTAGGTTTCCCGCCTTTGGCTTGCCCAAAGCCTCAATGGCCTGGAAATCTGCTCCATTCATCCTACGCATCCTAGTACCGATAAGCCATAAGAATGGATTGTGGTATTTACTGCCGTCAAATAGATATGCTAGATTGAAGGCAATAATGCTGAAGTAGTAGGCAGCATGTACGCTCGGATAGATATTACGTATGAACCACTTGTAATAATGTAATAGCCGCTGCTTGAATGTCGGATTCGTAGGCATGCGGGTATAGTTTGCACCTAGGAGGGCTCTTGGGGCTTCGATCTCGTGGCTCTCGTCCAGCTTCCGCTTTAGGTACGGTAGAGCAACCATAACAGCCAGATTCTTCCAGATATCCTTCTCACTCAGCTTAAGAGTTTCCCGTACTAGCTCCGGAGCGCGGGCGGTAGCACGAGGGACTTCTGCCTGTAGCGACTTTTCTCGTTTGAGGCCATAAAAGTGTTCAGTAAAGCCACCGCCGCGTGTTCGTAAATAGTGGCGCTCGATAACGAGCATGGCAAGCGCGTAAAGCTCATCGAATGAGTTGAGAACACGTAGTAAGTAACGAGGGTATCGATGAGTCGCGACAGTAAGAAGGTATCGTAATGTCGGTGGTAGAAGTGAGTTGAGCTGTTGTTCTGAGAGTAATTCAAACAATGATGGTTTCTGGTCATCGAAGGTGCCCCGAAGGGCTGTGACGAATTCCATCCTGACTATTAATTATTAGCGCAAGCTACACCTTAGTTGTTTAAATTGGTTGATTGTTAAGGGTAGAGCATGTTTTGTAAGAATTATTTAAAAAGTGAATTGATGCACAAGCTAACAAGACACGATCCAATCCAAATTCCAAATATGTACATTATTCGGTACAAGATCGACAAGATGCCGAGGTTGACGTAAAATGAAAGGAGCTAAGGCCATAATTCTTGCTTACCTAATCCAATACACTATAGACATTAGGTACCTAAATACCTCGATAGTATCCATCCCGCCTCCTATATGAATTGTTCCTATTCCGTACAATATGTATAATTTATAGCCATAGAAATAATAGTCATGATACATACTTGAGCATCAAAAAAAGAACGAATTGTTGTAAAGCACAGAATATCTCTCTAAATTCTAACTAAACCGAGCTTAGAAATAGGACAATAATATAAAAGAGACTGCACGAAAAAAATCTAGTTATCCGTCCAAGTCACCCAAGAGATACCCGTGATTTCCAACTCAAGTCCAGGCTCATCTTCCTCATCTTCATCATCGTCTGACCGGTAGGCCGGCCGGTCAAATTCATCCTCGTCGCCTAGCTTATCGAAGGAGGTATCATGGACACTAGGCAGGAAATTCTGCATAATTTCGCTGTATTCTGCTGCGATATCGTCCGAAACCTTCCAAAATGCACTTGGACCAGCTGGGCCATGTGGATCGAAATCCCTAGGAATATATTTAGCATACACACGACACATAGATACTTAACAAGTAATAGCAGCTAAGATCCAATTGACTTACTTATCAAACCAATGACCCAATACCCCCTTGGAGCTCTTGACACCACCAATCTGGACACTCTCACTACGCCATCTCTCTTCACCGTTAAAAATCGAGAAGGTTGTCCAGTGTACCTCACCTTCACGAGTCAAGCGAACGGTGCCTTTCTCTCCAAACACTTATTAGCAAATTCAGATGTCCTGGAGATGAAAAGGGGAGCGTACCTTTCATACCTCTCAAGTCTGAATTGGCATTATCATCATAGCTATCGTCGAGCGACTGGGAAATTCCCTTGAAATGTACAACTGGTAGTTCTTGTCCGTCCTCGGGTCCGGGGGGCTCGATACTAGTTACGCGAATCCTCATAAGGATTAGGCGCGTGGCCTGGCCAACATCGAGAGCAGGTCGAGGGATATTCCGTGGAAGTTGTGCGCCTTCAGCGAAGTTATATATATGAAAGTCTGTATAGTCTAGGAAGCATACTATGCGTAGCCAAGTCCCTGTAACTCCATATGGGTCCTGAAGTTCCAGTGGATCCGGGACTTCCAAAGAATCTGGCTTCCGCGAGATAGGATGTGGTATATAGCTTTGGGGCCATGCTCCTGCGAAAGGCGAGTCCCAAAAGCTCCTACATAGTGGAAACCTCGCAAGGCCAAGCCTTCGAAGGTTCGATCCGATCACGATCATGATAGCTTCAGCTTTCTCCCAGTCCACCCGGTCTGTATCGTCATCCATAAACGGGCCCCATTTCGTGTTTTCTGTATATCGTCTTAAGTCGTATACCACAGAGCAGGCATACGGGCTCATCTTGCTTTCTCTCGTCTGATGGGACTCTGGCCGCGCATACAAAATCGGCATTCCAAAAAGGCAGTGTAAATGTGCGCTCTTCTGGTGGTCCCCCTGTACGGATGAGATGTGGTTATCCGAACAGATGCATTCCTTGCGGGCGCGCCCGAAGATGGTAGACCGGCACAAGAAGGCAGATTGGTTAGTCTCTTCTTCGAATATGGAGCGTAGTATTTCAGTGTTACGGGATGTCAGATAAGTTGTTAACGGGAATCGGTCAGTATCGGTGGCAGCATTCTGAAGGAAAGACTTGACAGTGTCATAAACGAAGGAGAGTTCGTTCTTCTACGTAGGAAAGAGTTAGACATTGAACGATTTTGAATCGCGAGCCAGCTAGGCATAGTAAATGCAAGCAGATGAGGTTCGAGAAGTATCGTACCTTATCTTGGACACGATCTCTTCGACCTATACCCTGTAAACGGACGATATCGTGAACTGCCTGTGTCCAATTCACGACGGGCTTATTTAGAGGATTATCATAATTGTTAAGATAAACAATTCTGAAAAGTGAGGTATTCCCATTGACAATATGATAGAGATTCTTGCAAACGCGGGGGACCCATCCTAAGTCGGAGGGTTCAATATAGCCGAGAACATGTTGCACGATCTCAGGCGGAAGTTCAGTTAAAAGGACCATCTTTCTGACATATACTAGAGGGCGAGAGAGGCAATCCCTCTCGCACTCTCGTTTCTCCTATCAAGGTTGCAATGATGGCTCGTTAGAAGTTTTGCTGACCGGGGTTCGATGAAGGTAAAGAGGTAAAGAGGTGGAGAGTTGGATGATTACTTTTAGGTACGATTGGGAATTGCTGCACGTAAACTAGTCCTACCTCGGGATTAATAATTATAACCTTATACATATGTAAGTCCTCGGATTTAATGTAAGAGCGTTCCTTCTACGAATAACCCATTGCGCCATTTCTATTATTTAAACCTAGGCAATTCTAAAAGTCCAGCTCTTACCCACTTAAGCTTAGATATCGCTTTCCTACATGTACATATCACTGTCGACATATGACTTCATAAATTTAGATGTATACTTGTATCTATGGAACCCCCGGACTTCCCGTCATCTATCTAGCCGTACTCAATTAGCCGGCAGCCAGGGCCTCATTTTGCAACAGCTACTACCTTACCAGACCCGTATGTAGGTACCTACCTACATAATACAAGGTAAAAATGGATACATATCTCCTAGTGTCACATTCTCTAACAAGGATATACCCAAACTACATTTCTAGGTTACTAGTTTATACGGGGTATTAAACCCCCACGTTCTGCATTTCTAGCTGGTAGGTATAACACCTAGCTCATACTACCTAAAGGCGTGTAGTATAGTCCCAACAACTCACGATAAAATGCAATAAGAATTCTAGCCTTGGCAGAAGTATTATAAATTCAACACTCGTGCTTCTTTCTAGACGGTGTTAACGTACGTGTAATACCCGAAGGATTCTACACTATTTGACCTCCTTCAGGCACTAATTGCTAAACTGAACATGTCGGCACTTAGACTGCAGAATATCAAGATGAAAACTCCCCCATATTCAAAATGATGATGAGTATGCCTCCGCATGCTTTGTAACGAATATTCGAATAAATTTCGCCAGTTTTTGGTAGATCGTGTATATACGTATCGAACAACAGTAAATATCACACGAATGCGACAGCGATGTGGTTGTGCGACACCGTTACGTCGTGTTGGGTATATGATGCGAAGTCGCTGTTTTTGCATAGTTACAATAGTAAAAAAGTTCAAGGGTCCAGATACCCCCTGGTAGACGCTATGATCTTCGTTAAGAAATGTTTTCGATATCGCTTGTCCGTAATCCGTTCCTCCTCATACATCAGTTAGCCATCCTCAGATTCTCGTTCATCATGCTCCCGTATATTCCATGTTTCTTCCTTCTTAGGGAATGAGTTTCTTTTTCGTGTTTTATTTGTAATAGGCTTCGCTAGACCACGGTTGCACCACTGTTGAGCTGGATACAATTGCTCAGTAGTGTTGCTCCTTCGTGCAGTAGCTCCCACCGCGTCGATTCAAACGAGTCCTTAAGAACTATGAGTAGAGTACTGTTGTTGTTGACACCCCTCATGCCCTTGAGATCTTCCGGCGAAGCCACCGAACCAACTCTCAATAGGTACTCGCGCATCTGGCTCATTTTCTCCTCGGTAGTATTCGGAATGGGAACTCCGGGACAGGGGCCCTCCAGCGCGAAACCGTAACACCATACAACCAATGCTGCGAAGTAGAGCACCCATGGCCGGTTCAGGAGGACGTCGTCTCTGGCTAGATACATCAAGATACCCGATTGGTGGCTATAACCCTCCGAAGGCGATCCTGCATTTTCAGGGAGCAGAACTGAGCATAGGAATTTAGCAGCGTAAAATGTGGCATCGCGAGCTTTTGCAGACGGCGCCCAGAGGTCCTTCATTCGACGCTGCGCGCTATTTAAATCTTGTGTACCGATCGCCCTACCAAGCAGGCGTTTGGCGCGAGCAAATATCTGACAGTCGACGATGTCCACGTGCATTGCCATATGTGCTAGATGATGTAACACTGTCCTACTTTCGAATACCACATTAGCTTCGTTCCGCTTGTCGTAGCTATACGGATCGACCACCGTATCAGCGCGTTGTAGCGACTTGTCGAAGTCTGTCTTCCACGAGTCGAACGCTTTCGTAAGTGTTGATCGCCATTTGTCACGACCCCCAAGCGCTTGTTGCACGCCGCCGCCGAGCGAGCTGACTTGCAGGTCACGTTGGTTCATATGCCAACTCACGCTTAGCAAACCTGCCATGAGGATCTGTCGGCCGAAAGGATTCGTCTGTACTTCATGCCCCGCAAGAGTCCGCTTGAGTCCTTCGAGGAATGAGATGGGTTTAATCCCATTAGACATGAGATTCGCCTCGATCCTACCAACCTCAGCGCCGCTTGTAGCCTTCCATAGCTGATCGTCACAAGGGAGGGGCAAACGCATTTCGTGTGCCACCATCACGGTCGAATGCCCAAACATCGTAGCATGAATCGAATCGATAAGAAACGCCGCAAACGCTGCACGTCTGGTAGTCTCGTTCGTTATCCAGTGGTTCCACCACTCATCCGGCGTATGCGCGAGCCCCGAAGTAGAAGAATGCCGAGAACTATTTGCTCCCGATTTCTCATCTCGTGGATTTGGCGGTGAGTCGAGAGCAGATTTCCCAATTAGAGCCCTCCCTCTCCGCATAAGCGTAATGGTAGTCGCATGGTGGATGTGTGCTCGTTCATGAAGCTCCCTTGTTGAGTACATCTTCTCATAAAGCTCCAATAATAACAGAGTCTGAAAGGCCCAGATCTTCGCCGGCGGTCGGCAATTCACGTCCATGAATATTTCCCACCTTAGGTGCCACGCAAGGAAGTTAGAGAGTTGAGATCCAGCCATGATGACCTTCGGCCCGTGCGTTCTATCTAGACAGGCAGCACCTATTGCCATCACTGCTATTAACAACAAATTCGGCGTCCTATCTGGCGAAAACGTCGGTTTGTGGAGAATGGGTATCTGATCGCTGAAGTGAACCCAGTAAGAACCTATATACTGCTGCATCATCTTTCGGCTTAACATATGGTTCTCATCACTCCTATCACCTTCTAATATGCTTTCTCGTTGGCGCTCCACTGGCGCATGATCGTTCTCGTGGAACCTCTCTTTAATAAAGTCAAAAATCTCTTGGCTCTTTTCTTCAGATAAGAGCGACTCCGGGAGGTTCGGGTCAAGAAGATTTGTGACAGCCATGACCTGCTGTGGTTGGTTAGACGGCGGAAAATATCCCAGAGATGCACTTTCGTAATACGGCATGCCATATTGATGCTCCGCATAGCTAAATACAATTATGTTAGTTCGAGGAATAATACAGAATTTAAAATTAGCCATTGATACGTACTTAGCGTATTGATTTGGTGGCATTACATGGCCCACCTGTGGTGACCCGTTAGGATCATTGGTATTAAAGAGATACGCAAAAAAGTCTTCGGGAATAGCAACGTATGGGGACTTATTCAAGACGCCGTCACTACCAAAAATTGGAATGGTAGTTTGCGTTGCCATCTGATCCAGCAGCACCATTTCACCATTCGATTGAGAATGCGAATGATCATAATCGTTAGAATTTTGTGGTGCATAAGCTTGCCCAGATTCCCTTGGCATGTTACCAGCAGTTGTTGTCGCAAAATCTGAAGGGGGTAAGGTAAAAGGTGTTAAATTTTGCTGGGTGACGTATGGCATCGTTGGGGCAGACTGAGGGGTATTAGCGAGATGCCCATGATAGCTACCGTGTTGCGTGGGAACTGGCGATAAAACGCCGTAAGGGGCACCGACGCCGGTTTGGATTGTCGGTCGTGGAGGGCCTGAAGGGGAGTGGTGCGGATGTCGCGCACCATGAGGAGCAGAATAACCCTGCTCATGATGCATATAACCGTCAACTCCGTTTGGATGACCGACATGAGAAAAGTTCGCGGGTGGTGTATTTGATATCGGAGTATAAGGGGTGCCGATAGTATCTTTTGGTGACTGGTATTCATAGTGAGCTCCGCGTCCTTGAGTATAGCTTGGCCCGAGTCTATCGGAATCGGGGGAAACGGCACTAGGCGTAGGGTACGGAGGTCTTACGTTGTCGACGGGAGAAGACTGGCTAATCAAAGAATCTTTCCGATTCAGCGCAGACCCTTTCGCAGTATGGCGATCTTTATGACGGTTACACAAGTCGAGTCGGACGAACTGGCGCTTACAATCCTGAAAGTCGCATCTATATATTTGTTTCGGCGAATGATTCAATTGGTGCCGATAACTTTTTCAAATTCCACCTAGTCAGTAGAGCAAGTATATTTAAGAATTAGTATTTTAATAAAAACTCACAGATGTTCAGCCCTTGAATAACTCTTACCGCATCCCTCAGTAGGACATTCGAATTTCTTATCCAAACCTTTGCGACTCCGTCTCCGCTTTCTTACGGGACCATCCGAGTTTGATGAATTTCCGTTTTTGGTGTCACCGTCGCCTGCCTGGTCACTCTCATTGCCATCGATATCCTTGTCAGGAGAGCGGCTTCGGCGACGCCCTCGCTGCGGGTCATCTTCATGCTGGATATTCTGAGGCGGCGTCGGCTCCTGGACCTCGGTCATGATGGGGCTCGATCGCACGAAAGGTATAGATGGTTTAACGTCTCTAAGCAGTGCGGGGAGAACAGAAGTCATGTTCCATTAAAGCATCATGGTCTTGCTAAAGAATCGTAGCGCTTCAATACCGGGCCGCTCGCGGCGAATGTTGTCGCACCCCTCGTGGGGAGCTTCCTGTCGCACCTCGAGCAGAATGATAATTGGCCAGTAACGCTTTGTCGCACGCGCACACCTTCTCTCTACCTCTTCTCTATGTGCAGTCCTAAGTAGTAAAGTATTGGATTAAGAAGCCACTCCAAGACGCCCGTTGGTGCCACAGTCGGACGATCTAAATGTGTTACAACGGAAGACCCAAACTACTGCAAGCGTGCAAGCGCGCAAAGGGAGAGAGGGACAAGCAAACGAAGAGCAACTTGATTTCCCTTGAATAATCGGCTGCGCTAAGAGCTAACAGTGACGATGATTTAAGATGACCTCGAAACAAACAACATGGCCCAAATTAAAGAATTATGGTGCGGTTACCACATAACAGTCCAAATCAAGGAATTATGTACCGAGGGGGAATTATATCTTCTTGAAGGAATCGATCGCCGGGTAGTAAGCGAGAGACGGAGCTGGAACTGATTCGATGCGAAGGAGGGACACGCGATGTTCGAGCCAGAAAGACATGAACATAAGATTATATCTGGATTTACCTATAATGCCTAGGTCGGGAGGAAGATGATTAGTCTTTTAGTTCTGGGGGGGTCCCACGTCTAAGGACGGGATAGAGAGTTCGAAATTTGTAAATGCCGCCCATTGCGGTAAATTGCCCATGGAACGGAAGGCGCTCTTTTAAGGAGCCCAGTACACACCTAGCAGCCTATCCTCGTAGGTGGCTAGGTACTGGTAGTTACCTTAACGAAGCTAGCGCGTCTGGGCGGGGTTCAGGTGCGATGCAATTAAGTGGGAATTTTCGAGGAAGGATGTAACACCGAAGACGAAGGAAAGTACCAAATTAGGTATAAAGTGCGTAGTGAGGTACATGATCTAATAGGTTAGAGTACAATACTTCGGATACCCAAGTAAGTACATGCAGGTAGGGGGAGGGTCCCGGAGTAGACTGGAGTCCAGTGACAAGACATGGGGGAGTCTTGATTTGTAGATGCAGGGAAACGACGAGCGGGAAGGCCAATTAGCTACAAAATAGTAAATAGCAGCACGGAGCACACTATGCGCCGTTCGGGATTGGTTAAGAGTTTATATAATAAAATCGATCGGGACAAATACTAAAGTCGGAACTACCTATACTCAGTTAAAATAGAACTACTATTACTAATAGATATCCTTTTAAAAAAAAGACAATAACTGAATTTGAAAACCTGCCACAAACTACTAAGTGCTGTACGCTCGCTATATGCACCTATGTATGTGGTATGTAGGTTAGGTATGTAGGTAGATATATATATATATATATATATATACCAACTAACAAACACATACATAGCTCATATATCGAAACACATATGCTACTCGGTAGTGGACGGACAGGTCAGGTATATACGAAATACAGAATCCTCAAAAGTAAAGATCGGTTAGGTACGTGAACCAGGAAGACGCTTATATATGGTAGAGGCGAAGAGAGAATCTATCCGCGCTCGAGTACCTACTTGCTTAGGGTTCCATTGCAGAAAAGAAAAGTCTCGGGCTGCACGTTGTTGCGAAGACATGACACTTGACAAGGGGTCTTGACTGGTTCGCGTATGAACAGGAAGACAGGGTAGAGGGCTATTGTCGGGGGAGAAAGAATAAGTGTGTGTTGTTGAGCGGGAAGAGGTCGGCGAAGATAATAATGCGGCACCAGAACTTGGTCCGAAACCGTGTGTCTAAGTCGCACGCGAAACCGTCGGACAAGTAGGACGATAGGTTGGTAGGACAATGTAGGAAGGGTACCAACTAAGCTAATGAAATAGATGCATATGAAACATACCAAACTAGATGACAGCTTCTTACAAATTATCATGTACGAATCATCTCCAACAATACCGACAAATGCAGTACTGTAAATCCTTTAGTCTGAAGTTGCCCCCCCGAACGACCCGAGTCTGACCGGTATTGATCGGTATTTGCTACAAACTAGCGGTTAAAATCGATTGAGGAGAAATAGACAATAGGAAACACTCGTGTAATGGTGAATCGGGTGAAGCGGCTGAAAAGGGGAGTCGTAGCGGCGGAGGGTCAAATTGCTAAAATAACAACTAAAAGACCCAAAGAATAGGATAGCAGTAGTATGGAAGTGTGGGAGAAGGCAGAAAATCGAGGTGGGGGTCCTCATTCTTAATAGCTGCTAATACTTGAGCACATATGACTATTTCTAACTGGGATAATCCAACTAGGATACCTTGTACATAGGAAGGATGCTGATGGCTCGCCCGAACTGTGGAGTGCAGTCCCCTGTACGAAGCCAAGACAACCACCTGCGTCTAATAAATGCATGCATCGTTATATGTAAGTATACACATGACGCTTGTATGCCTCTCTCCATTCGATCGTATAATCGTATTTTGGGGGCAAACGGCACACGAGAGTCAGAAAAATATGACATGTATGCATACACACAAGCTACCCCGAACCTATCAATCATTTCTTTTAGTGTTGGTTATAGAAGCATACGTTGAAGTCTGAGTTATTCGTTACTAAGTTACCATTAACGTCTCCAATTGCGAAGAAAGTCCGCAGTGTTTACCAGTTACCTCTATAAGATAATATCAAACTTTGAAGACATTCCCCCTCATTTTTACTATAGAGGAAATTCACAACTAAGAGAAGAGAATCAACCAATTGGAACAACACTGATAGGATCGGTTGATGTTAGAACTCTTCTTATAGGTTAGCGACTATGGCAAGCGAGGTAAGACGGGCCTTCGACTCCGGCCAGGTGGGATGTACACTTACAACAAGCTAACTCAGAGATTGCTAGTTAGTCTTTATTTAACTCAAAGATAGAATCTATGAAGACAGAATCTATAATTCAAGTCTTATATTTGATTGCGTATGGACTGTTACCAGTTAGTCCTAACTCCTAAGCCCATAACTAAGTTATTTACTTGCCTAGTACCATCTACCCGTCAGGATTCTAAACATCCGACCTTTTACCGGGGCTTCGCCCCTAAGGTCAGGGACTTTTAAATGGAAACGTACTTTTAGATGGAAATTTCAATACAAAATTTTACTAGCGTTTCTCATACAAAATTTTGTATCTCGTTTGAAATGAATAGTCTATTTTACATGCAAGTGTCTAATACCTTAACTCCATATTATGTAATAAACCCCTCATTTTACTTGATTATCCAGGACAAAGTCCGTTATTTATAGTAATATTTACAAATGCTTCATTTACACACAATACACCTTTTGATGCCTTTGTTAATTGATTAAGGGTAAAAGACCTTGTAATATAAATAGATTACGTGGTTTTGGGGATTTAAGTCAGTTGTGGGTGACTGATTTAGATGTTAAAATCAACGTATTTGATGATGTTAAGATTGGCAAATGTAAATAATGAAGGGTTTGGATTTGTAACTAATGTGATATTTCATTATTCCGATGGTACTTGGATTTTAGGTGCGGGACCCATACTAAATAAAGTAGCTACAGAAATTTCCATCTAAAAGTACGTTTCCATCTAAAAGTCCCTGACCTTAGGGGCGAAGCCCCGGTAAAAGGTCGGATGTTTAGAATCCTGACGGGTACTGTACCATTCTCGAGATCTAAAAACAAAAGTCTTGACTTATGTATTAGTGACTTACCGCTTTGTTGAATACTCCGTGGGTATATTAGATGTATGATCCAGTCGCGTGGACCCCTCCATTCGGAAAACAACCAAATCACTAGCGCCAGTGGTTACGAATTATCTACGAAGCCACGGGATAAATGTGCCATGGTCCCTTGCTGCTCATGTCGTCTTACCTACATCATAAAGGTACCTACGTGGTAGTAGACGTAGCTTTTTTACCGTTAGCCCCGCAGCCTAATATATGATATATTTATATATACGTATCTGCAGAGTGGGATGACTGTATGTAGCAGTGTGATTCCTGATATACATGAGGTACATATATGTGTGAGTATAATAGATGCAAGGTACCGCTTTAGGATATTATAAAATTATTCTATAGGTCTGGCATGGGTTAAAACGGCTTGAACGGCTTGAAAAATCATTGACAAATAGTAATGTCATTCAAGGTACGTAAAAGTTGAACTCATCGGGTTGCGCCGAATAAATGTTTCATACATATTTACATATTGCATTAGATATAATATAGGTACATGAACATGGGATTCGCGGTGGCTTCAAAACCAGGGAACCCCAGGACAATAATCTACTGGCGGATCAAAGTCTAAAATCTCAAGAGAGGAAGGGTCGGTTTGTGGGGACTGGGGTCAAGCCGATTGATTGGTCGATTTCTCCAGGTCTTGGCAAGATTTAGCTGGGAGCATCTGCTACATAATGCATTAACGCGTGGATCATTATGCACGGGATGCATTGGGTTTCTACACAAGTTCCACTATGCAGCCTAAAAACGCTTTTTTTCCCCTCCATCTCCATCACATCTCTCATAAGACAGTCTCTCATTTGTTTCACAAGAATTAAGAGGTACCTATTAATTACCTATATTTAAAGTCACGAATCGCAAGAAGAAGAAGAAAAAGTAATATGCATTAGCTCGAAATACTCAAAAACATATGATCACATAACTCATAAGAAAATAACATACGGCTATAATTCTCGTAAGTCTGCATCGTGGTCACGAGCTATCAGAATAGTTCTTAGTGTTCGTTAATATCTTCCAAACTGGGGTCAAACCTGGCCACAATATACCCTTAACTGTTCTCGGTCAAGGTTATTTTCAGCTGGATGACGCTAGCACCGCCCACCAGCATGCAGAGGGACATCGTGAGCAACTATATAACCGCCTAGCCACTACGCCAACAGCTGACACCTCAAGAAATATCTATTCATTGGC